CAGCATTTCAGGTTGCGACTACTCGCAATGAGAAAAGGTGTTCACGAACCTGAGTTTCTCTCTTTGATGCGCAGGTTTTTAAGGATTGCCACTAGGGGAATAATGGCTATGCATAGGTAGGATGCTCACGTTGGGATGTTTAGGCATGTTGAATATGTTGTACGGCATAATCACATCACCTCTGATTCTCCTGTAACTCAGGGGGAATAATACCAAGTGCCGGGGTCTATATTCGTAAGGTTTGTTCTTCAACCCTATCACCCGTTTCTTTCCTCGTCTTTGCACTCGGCCCAAGAGATTCATGTCTTTTTTAAGTAGAAGGTATGCGACAACGTTGTGCAGCTCCATGTGTGGGCGCGCGTGTGTTTAACGTAACGCTAAGAATAATTGTGGGGTGATAGCACCCAGTTGTGTTCGCATAAAATGAAGAGTTGCATTTGCCTTGGCTGCGTCACCTATATGGTCCGAGCTTGTGTGGAGGCTTTCTGTGGTTATTAAATCAAGATCTCACTCTTGGGAAACACTGAGGAGCGGACTTCCTTTGAGGGCGTAGACCGTTTTCGTCATGTGGGGCAGAATTTACATGACGCGGCACTTCTGTTGATTGAGTTTTAAACCGTTTTTCACTGGCAATTCCACAATAGATGTTAGGTCCTTATGAAGCGCAGTCGAATCCTCTTCATTTCTTTTGGACCTCCAGATCTTCGCATCGTCTGCGTAGATCAATGCCGGTGAGCTAACTGAGCCTAACAGGTTGTTATAAATATCAACAAGAGAAGTAGGCCTATGATGGTCCCCTGTGAAACTCCCGATATGGATACTCGCCAGCTCGCTTGCATTCTCTTTACCTTGGTACGAAACTTTCTATTCTCAAGGTAGTTTCTGAGCCAAGATAGGAGTGGGTCGGTGAACCCCATTTCCACAACTTTTTTGATTAGGCGTGTGTGGGGTACTGTGTCAAAGGCTTTTGCAAAGTTAAGGAATATTACGTGCACCGGTATTTTTCGGTCCAAGCAAGAGGTCCAACTGTCCCATGCTATGAGAAGGTTAGATGCGTAGAACCTGCCTTTCCGAAACCAGTATTGAGCTTCATGGGGTATTTTCTTCTTGTCCATGTACCCCCTCATTTGTTCGTCCACCAGCCCTTCCATTACCTTTGATAGTATTGGATAGTAAGGATTCTAGTTTCCTCCGTACTAAGTCAGGAGTGATACGGATGTTTCCACAGCTGTCAACTGGCAATGGGCTTGCGTATTACTCCGAACATGTGTGTGCCTGGTTTAAACGATCGGTAAAGTTAGTGTTGAAGATCTCGGCCATTTCTAGGTTGGTGAGTTCTTCCCCGTTCGGTCCTTTGAAAGAACACAACCCTTGACTAGTTGGTTTTCTTTTGGAAATGAACCTAAACAGATGCTTCGGGTTTGCCTGTATTTTGGCAGCTTGCTTCATCTGAAATTGTCTCCTATCACTTCGAACTTTGGTATTGTATCTGTATAATTTGCCCTAGTGTAGCAAAGATAGGGCTCGTTATCGTCCTGTGTGAGTGTTTCGTTTATGACCATGTTAAACAAAAGTTTAAAGTGACTTCAGGTAAGTATATAATAGCAAAAGCATACCCCGTGATCTATATATCTAAAGCTTCCCATAAAAGCTGGTGTGCGATCAACCCCATGTACTTGTCGCTTGGGCTCTGTGATCACACATTCAGATTGCTAAGACCAACACTAACCAAACTCCACTTTCATATTCCTCGAGAAATACGCTTCCACTGTATAGGCAACTTAGATGTGTCGTCATATCCGTAATAACACACGAGATAAACTTATCCACGATCAAATCCCACCCGAGCCTTGCAACTACTTCCTTATCTCCACGACTAACCATTCTCGTACAAATCTATCACCTGATGCCACTAATGCTGTTTACTTGAGTAGACAAAATCTTATTCCTACTCTCTTGAAACACCACTTTAAACCATATGTTGGAGCTACTGGTGTTCGGACATTGTGTCAAGTAAAGCAATAGGCTTACTTAGCAAGGCCTCCAGAATCCCGTGTAATAAATGCCGACTAAATAGATTTACAGGACATTCGTATTACAAATGAATCTCAATAACTTTGGAGAACCATATGTGTGAAAACTAAAAACCCAGACTTCAGCTTTTAGAAAGTTACTGCCAGTGCCTATTCCAGATGAAAGGGGAAGGTTGAGTGTGGAGTTGACAACATCATCCAGTAGATAACCAGCTTTACAAAAAGCTGTAACCAGGAAAAGTAATTCAGACTAGTCAAACTCTGTCTTGGAATTCGAATGAGCTCCATTTAAAATGTCGTGACGCCTAACTATGAAACCCAGGGTTTCTTCGGAAGTCGTGAGTTCGATGCCTATCTTGATAACCAGAACAACCATTATTATAGGTACATCTGATGTTCGCACAATGTGGGAAACCGCTGGAATCAGTCAAGTTGTTACGGGGATAAAGGGCTGCAACCTGTAAGTGCCTGGAATAAACTTAACATATTGGACTTGGTGAGATAAAAGAAACTAGCTTCGAGAGAGATTCAGTTATACTTCATTGACAAATAGGAAATTGTTCCAAACAAGGGGTTGCAATAAGGCTATCGAAAGAAGCCGAAAAAGAATTGGTAAGATGAGGATTCTTATTATATCATGGACATCATCAGTGCATCTTTCAAAACAACAAAATAGCATGACAATGAACGTCATCCACTGGTAAACACCTAACAACCACTACAATGAAGATGTTAAAGATCAATAATACGAGAGTCCTCGGTCATTTGTTAAGAAATGCTTGACAAATGGCTTGACTATTCTGATCGGAGACCTAAATGCCAAGGTTGGCAAAGAAAACACCAGATATGAAGACCTAATCGGACGACATGAAGTGCGAGAAAGGAACGAAAATGGTGAGAGATTAGCAGATCTATATGTCTTAAACAAACTGATCATAGTCAGCACCAGATACCCACACAGACGCATAAGTTCAGCCACATGAGTTTCGATGGATCACACTATGCAGAAAGAAATCAATCTTATCTGCATCAATAAAAGGTTCAGATTTACCGTGGAGGATATAAGAACAAAGAGATGAGCTGATAGCCTCAGTTTATCACTAGATGAAAGCCAGAATGAAATTGGAACTGAAGAAGCGCAGCACAGAATTTTATTCAGACTTTCTTTGAGATACTTAAGAACTCGACGAATTCAAGAAGTGGCAGGCCTTCAATGATCTACTCGGTGAAAGGGAAACTGACATGGAAAACAACTAGGAAGGGATGAAGGGAGCAATAACCCTGGCTTATCTTGAAGTTTATAGCAACAGCAACCATCTTCGCAAGGAAGGGATCTCTGAGGATACATTGGATAGGATTCAAGAAAGGAGGAACTAGAGGCTACCTACCGATATAAGCCTAATAATAACAAAGAAAGCCAAGGCACAAGCTGAACACACTGAAACTAATAAATATGTGAAGAGAAGCATTACAACTGATGGAGGTACATACGTGGAAGATCTAACCACGAAAGCAGGAAAATCTGCACCAGAAGAAAACATAAGATTGTTATATGACACAATGAAGACGTTTGCCAAGAAATATCGTATGCCAAAACGACCAGTGAAAAGCAAGGAAGGTAAAGTAATCACCAACATTCAAGAACAGCGAAACAGCTGGGTAGAGCATTTTGAAGAACTCTTGAATCGATAAGCCCTTTGAATTTAGCTATAATTAAAGCAGAACATGCTTTTATGTCTAACCCACAGGGCTCGTCCGAACTTTTGGACAAATTACTTGGCCCACTAGTCTTTCGATCTTGCCAGTCATTCACTCATATCTTCGTTGCTTTTTCTCCTGTCTGTGCACTCCTGCATTGCATATTACATGTCTAGCCTACTTTGTTTCACTATATATGCTTAGTCGTGGTTCATCGAATCGGGTTGGCTCTCTTGCCTTCACCACAGTTTGCTTTCATGCTTTTCGTAATCATATTTGCATGAACGATTATCTGAAATAAACTCACCCGACCGAATCCGTATTTGGCTTCTTATTACCGCCGTCAAACAAACGGTGTTCGCTTAAGTATGACATATGTAAACTGATGGGGAGATTTATTTCATAGTGTATATAGTATATAGTATACAGTATATATATACTCTATATGGCATAGTTCATAAATACTAGGGTTAAATCGCGGGGCGATAGTGTGATGAGCCTGGAACGATCTTCGGCATAGTGTTGTTGAACCGAAGGAAAGATTCCGCAGATGTCCAACTTCGAGATCAACAGTTCTAAATCCGAAAGGATTGACTAGATACCAACCGAATTGTGAAACCGTGGATCGTTTTTGAACAACCATTGAATGGAACTCATCAGTGAACATCAATTTCTTTAACTACTTGGAAGACTCCGGTAGCATGGACAGGAGAACTGAAAGGACACTATGGATTCGGACATCGCAGATTATCTAGCTAATCTGTTTCGCGCCTCTCAAACAGTATGTCCCAACATACTCAAGGCAAAAATTATGATCTTGTCATACAGCACAACATGAACTAACTAAATCACACGTAATAGAGAAGCTTCGGAAGCAATATAAACCTTTGTGCACATAGGGCAGCATCAATGATGAAAAAGGTCGATCTGGCACAAGTGTGAAGAACAGGTATTGGCAACGCAAGGACAACAATTCTACAATTGAAGACCATCTTCAAGTCAAAACAAGTGACAATCAACATCGAAGCCCAGCGTATATATGTAAGAATCAGAACTGAAACCCGATTACTGTAAAATAAATACAAATAACTTCTTCAAGAGAATTGACTAAATCCTTTAGTTTGCGATGTTCTTCCACTGCTATCTACTTACCGCTCTTCAGTTACTTCTAAAGATATTGATTTGTTTTAACGTGCTACGTTATCTGTACTGCTGGCTGTGTTAGTTCTGACTTGCAATCCTAATGTAACCGGTTACAGTTGTCTGGATATGAGTAGGGAATCATTTGTTACCCTCGCAACAAATGACGAATATTGTGTGGGAGCACTTGTTTTAGCAGCATCACTAAAACAATCAGAGACGTCGAAAGAGTTGACCATTCTTGTAACTCCAGGTGTCTCCTCACGTATGAGGTAGGTTGCAATATATATCACTGTGACTTTTAAAAGACAACTGCTTTCAAATTTTTACCATAATGTGATCGAAGTACAGCCTGTTACAACGAAATGTTGGGATAAGATCCTTACTGGTAATAGAACGGAGCTCGCTGAAACATTTACGAAAATTCAGGTTTGGAGTCTTACTCAGTTTACCAAAATTGTGTTTCTGGACGCTGACACAATGGTAAGATTAGTTTTGTTGTTCCTTTAATTTATACTCAATACAATACCCACACATGCTTCCTGTTTGCATGTTTTCCTGTTTTTCACAGGCACGAACTCCCAATAAACTGTTTATTTCAATAATATAGGCGCTAGTTCGATTGACCTACATTAAATTTGCAATATGTTTGTATGAACGTAAATTTCCTTTCTGAGAGCTCTGATTTGTAAAATCGGCTCTACCTAATTGAGTAGGTAGTTCGAGTTCCTAATTATTTACTTGGAGAAGCAGAGTTCTGCTCTGAGTTTTCCCATTGCAGCATTTGAATCGTATTTGATGTTTATATTAATGTATACAAAATTTTTAATTCCAACTGAAATACAAAGTATGAGCTTTGGTAAGAGGTTTTCTTGAATTCCACAATAATAGGAATAGACCAGTGTTTTTATTGCTTCGGTTCTAAAAGCTTAGAAAGCTCTGTAATTAACATAGCACATACCTTAATGATGTTTTCAAGAGAACTTGTATTTTCAATTAGATTTTGAAAAGTTTTGACATGCTTTGTTCTTAAAAATTTGTAAACTGGAAATCTATGCAGCATAACTTAAAAGATTGTCGTCATCTTTCTGTTTACTTAACCAGAAGTCTCCCACGCATACAATTTATGTTCAAAGATAACATAGGAACCAGACAAAATTAAACTTGAATAGTTAAAGAACAAATATCGTGACACATTGGCATGAATTCGTCTTATTTCATGAATCTTCTTCAAAAGCTTACAACCAATTAAATAAAACCAGTGTATCTACTTCATATCAGAATTCTCAATAATAATCTGAGTTGAAATGTGGAGATATTAGGAGGAAATAATACAGTAGAGTTAAAATCTTTTACACTTTCGCCCATTTATGAATTAAATATCTGATTATCCCAGAGAACTATTTCGAAACGAAAAATATTTTTCGAAACAGAAATTAGATTGCGTAATATATATAGTGGTTGAGGAAAGCTCAGAAATAAAAATTTATGTGTTATAGACTTAACTAAAGTTTCTGGAAACAGAAAGACTCAGTTTAACTTAACACAATGACAGGAAATAAAGTTCACAAGGACAAGATCAAATTGACAACTGTTTCTTTTTGGACACGTAAATTCAGTTTCAATTTTTTTATTGCAACAGCCTCAGCAGTTAGTAACCTTTCTGAATTAATCTGTTTGCTGTTTATTTTGAACGATAACTATCAAGTAGGTGAGAGGTATTTGAGCCATTAAAATCCTTTTATCCCATCGGACTCGACTTTTCCGGAATATGTTCAGAGATGAGAACAAACACCCTCCTTTCTGTTATTCCAATATAAGTGCTTTGGCACAAACATGTAAGCCGGTAAACACCATTAGGTGTAACATAAGGCGGGTATTAATCCATATTTGGCTGCTTCAATACACATTTTTGTGGTACAGAGGCACTAATTTGGCTGATGTATGCTTTCCTTTTAGGACAGAAATTAGTCTAAAATCGATTTTCCCAGCTATTTTATCGTCTTTGAAACCACGTTTTAAGAAGACAGGCATTTTCTCAACCGTAGAATATTTCATTTTCTTTTCTGAAATCGTACCATATTTACTTATAAATTTTTTTGGATAAAAGTTCTTTTCTTGATCACCGTTAAACTGTGAACAGTTCTTTTTCGACTAAATCATCAGAGAATAATTTTCGTACACAAATGAACAGTGTTCTAACCAAAGCTCTATTGCAGTTTATTCGTCACCTTCAGAAGCCTAAGTATAGCCTACCCTGGGTTTCCATATAAGTTTCTATTCGGCCACTTAAATTTAGTTTAATGCAAGATCTAGATGACAAAACATGTTGTCATATATATATTCCATCTCAAAGTTAATTTTAGGGTGTCCTGTATGGAATAGTTTCAACATACAAGAAGCATACTTACTTACTTACTTACTTACTTACGCCTGTTACCCTCAGTGGAGCATAGGCCACCCACCAGTTTTCTCCAGCCAACTCTGTCCTGGGCTTCCCTTTCTAGTTCTTCCCAGTTTTTTTTTCATAATGACAATTATTACACGCTGGAAATATTCCGAAGATACAAGTTGAGTCATTCATTATTGGATTCATAACTGTTTAGTCTAGTTTGCTCATTTTTTCTAAGTCCATCTTCGGACGGAATATGATCAAACAATATCGATAGCAGGCGGCATCATAATATTATGTCCCAATGAGTATGTGCAACACTTAGTTTACTTACCAATAGCTAGTAAGTTTCAGTCAACCACTCATTCTTGTTAACTGTTTCACCTCTTTCTTATTTTATCGACAAACTCTCTATCATTTCATTACATTGTTCAATACACATTGACACTACACAATCAGCAACTCACAACACTTATCGTTCACAATAAATAATCACAACAATTCAACAGACTATTCAGTGAATTGTATCATTAGATTTAATGGATGACAACGACAATTAGTCGGTTGGACAATATTTCAACCCCATGTAGACAGCGTCAACTCCACCTTATAGGCCAGGATTAGGGCAAGGTGACTAACTCCCCTTGGCTACTTTATCAACTTAACAGTACAGTAGACCTTCGAATTAAAATGGAACATCTTTGGTGTACAACCCTAGAAGTTTGTTAAATTCCTTTTTTGACAAGGGAAATTGTTAAGTATGCTGAAATATAATTTGTATGGTATCTTCCAGTAAGATTACATTAAATAGTGAATATATATCAAATAGAAAAACATTTTCTAGCGTAAAAAACCGTGTCTTTCAAACTCTGGAGTATTGATCAATGGTCAGTCAGTCAGTCAGTTGCAACGTGGAACTTCGTACGTATGTACATAAGTTCATTTTGCCATACCACATTGCAAATGTCAAATCAAATCCCATAGTGATAAAGATAGTAGAGGTATTAATGGTAATGAAGAAGACTAGGGTTTGAAGATATTATTCCAGAAGTATAATTCAGTGAGATAAGGTTAGTAAGACAAATGTAGAGGTGCTGACGAATCCAGAAGATTAGGATTTGAGAGAGCTCAAATAATGGATGCACTTGCGCCATTGCAAATGATTTTGAGCCATGTCTTTCAAGGTCTCTAACCATTGGTGACTTTCGTCTCGCGGACCCCAACCAGATAGCCTACATCTACCAACATGACTCAGTCAACTTGTCAATGACTTCATGGATTTCTGCCGTGTTTTGGTCTCGTTGCCACTAGCTTTCTTCCAACCTACTCATGCACCACAAAACATAGCTCGTCGCGGCAGTCGGTGGTCAGGCATTTGTAATACATATCCCAACCACCTCAACTGATGCAGTTTCACCACTTCGTCTATTGATCTGCCATCCTTACCTAAAACTTGTTTCCTAACGACAACATTGTTTACTCGGTTGATCATTGGTAGGATAAATCTGACGAGTATATCAAGTTTGTGTAATTTGAAACAATTCATATAAATGAGATAATCTGAATCCTCAATATTTAAGTTCATGACATGTTTTGTTATTAACGAAATACCATTTTTTTGCAAAGATCTTTTAACTTTTTCATGATAAGCCTTTCTTTTGTTGTTGTTTCAGTCATATCCTTTTTTTGTTTGGAGAATATTAACCGGGCAATTTAGCTAAATCATTTTCATTTTGTTAATATAGTTTTCCTTTAATGATTAGATCTACTCCAGAACACTAATCAGATTTGAAAATAACGATCTTTTTTCCTTCGTTATACATTAAGTTTTGCCAAACATGAAGAAAATTAAATGAAAACTAGAAAACTCAGGAATTAAATGTTATCTCCCTTTCGATTGAGCTAAAAAGAAATTCATAACTGAGTTCCATGATGAATAGACTATCCGGAATAAATGACTAATTTTTACGCTGACAAAATACAGAGTCTTCTGAATACCCTAAGCAACAATGCAAGCATATTCGGGATGCGATTCTTACCTCAGAAATGCAAAATATCACTTCAGGATTGGTTTGCGACGGCTCCTGAACTAGTGATAGGGAGTGAAGTTGTTGGGCGTTTCGAACACTTCACTTATTTCGGCAGCCTCATCAGTGCTGATGACATGGAGACTGACGAAATTTCAGCACGGATACAGAAAGCTCCATTGGCTTTTGCCAACACGCATCACTTATGGCCTCGGTGAGATATCTGTTTGCTGACTAAAGGACGAGTGTACTGCGCAGTAGTTCGCTCTGTTCTACTATAAGGATATGAAACATGGCCGGTGAGAGTAAAGGACATTCGTAGGTTATTAGTATTCAATTATGGATGTCTTTAGAGCAATGCTCGTATATCCTAGGACAACCGAGTAAGCAATGCTGTTGTTAGAAACCAGGTTATACGTAAAGGTGGCAAGTCAACGGATGAACTATTGAAACTTCATCAGTTGTGGTGGTTGGGACATGTGTTACGTATGCTCAACCATCGACTGCCTTGTCGAGCTATGTTTCGTGGTGTAGGTGTAAGTTAGAAGAAATCTAGGAGCGGCCAAACCAACTTATGGTACAAATCCATGCAGTCAGTGACAACTGGATTGAGTTATGTTGGTACATGTAGACTTACTGGTTGGGGTCCATGAGACGAAAGTCACCAATCGTTAAATAGCTTTAATGACATGGCTCAAAATCGTTTGCAATGTCGTCGGTGCATTCATTCTTTGTGCTCTCTCAATTCCTAACCTTCACAGTTCCTCATCATCCTTATCCTTCTCCTTTTAAGTTTATTTCACAAGATTCTACTTCTTGAATAATATCTTCGAACCCTAATCTTCTTCATTACCGTTAATACTTCCACTATCTCTACCACTATCGGATTTGAACTGACAGTTACGCCCTTGTGCTAATGTAGTATGGCAACCTAAACTGATGTACTTACGTACAAAGTTCCATGTTGTAACTGACTAACTGACTGATTGACTGTAGATGAATAACAAGAATGTTTGACTGAATATCTGTGACTCGTTAACTAAATAAGAATCAGTAACTGTATCAACCCTACTGTTGATTGAAAACATTAAACTAAGCATGTTTTTTGTGATATCCCAATAAGGAAGATAGTTTTGTTTTGTTTTGTTTCTGTTATTATATAATTTATGACTTCATGTAATGTCATTTCTTTGAAATATAAGTCAATCAATCAATCAGTAGATCACACAACTTATTGATTGACCAGTTAAACTTGTTAGTTCAACCAATGTATTCCCCTAAATGCACTTCATTAATTCATTCACTGTTGACATTTTGATTTACTGTAGGCAATGCATTAAAATATGAATTTTGTTCATTAAAACAAGGTCAGGTCATTGCTTAAAAGAAAAATAAACCGAATTTTTACATATGATGATAATGATGACGATGTATTTCTTCATACATATTTTGTTGTTAATCATTTCTCATGATTGATGATATTTAACAAGTTTCATTGATTCGTTTCTAATGAGCTAATTACTATTACATTGCGGGGTTGTTGTGAAAGTTTTATTTGCAACCATGAATCGATCAATGTTAGACCACCATTAGAAACCTGGAAGTACTGGACAGCCGTTTCGTCCTGGTATGGGACTCATCAGTGGCAGTGCGCATCCACCACTCCTGCACCCCACAGGATTCGAACCTCAGGACCTTCGGTATAGTGCGCGAAAGCTCTAACCGTTAGACCACTGAGCCGGTATCTAACGGTGTTAATTAATGTCTAACTTGATCAAATTCACGGAGTTGCGCAACCTCATACCCTGTATACATCCGGACAGGTTTGAACTTCACTGGTCACAACTTCCCACTAGAACTCGGAGAAGATTCCTCAACAAGCTAGTCACTAATAGACACATGTAATTGCATTGCGGGGTTGTTGTGAAGATTGTTAAGTTTTATTTGTAACCATGAATCGATCAATGTTAGACTACCATTAGAAACCTGGAAGCACTGATGAGTACCGCACCAGGTAGAAACGGCCGTCCAGTGCAAGTTTTAATCAAATCGGAGGTACTTAATCACCTGCTTACTTGCTTACGCCTGTTACCACCAGTATTCTCCAATTTACTCTGTCCTAAGCTTCCCTTTCTAGTTCTGTCTAACATTTTGTTCATTCTTCTCATATCTTTCTCTGTTTCTTGGAGTAACGCGTTTCTTGGCCATCTTTTTTTCTTTTTGCCTTGAGGTCTCCAAGTGACTCAGTTAGGAACTTTCCACAATGTTTTGTCCTATCCACTTTTGACGCTACTTCCTGATTTCTTCCTCCATTGGAATCTGTTTGGTTTGTTCCCAAAGTAGTTTGTTGCTGATATAGTGTCTGGTCAACGAATCTGAAGTATTTTTCGTAGACAACTGTTCATTACCACCTGTATCTTCTGGATGATGACTTAATTAGTTTTCCAAATTTCCACCCCTCATACCCATGAGTGAGATAATCTTGAATAATTATTTCAGAATAACATGTTGCAATGAATAGTAAGTTCTGATTTTTGAAATGACAAGTTTTAATCAAATCGGAGGTACTTAATCACCTGCTTACTTGCTTACGCCTGTTACCACGAGTATTCTCCAATTTACTCTGTCCTAAGCATCCATTTCCAGTTCTGTCTAACTTTTTTATTCATTCTTCTCATGTCTGTCTCTCAGCGTATCGTGCTCCTGGGCAATCCTCTTTTCCCTTGACCTTGAGGGTTTCCAAAATCGAAAGTATTTATTATTGATTTTTTTCCCTCCGACATTTTTCTTATCAGTTAATCAACGAGTTTTTATTGTTGTTGCTTTTGGTAAATAAAAATTTTAGGTTTTACAAAATATCGATGAATTATTCGATAGATGTGAATTTGCTGCCGCACCGGATCCTCAATGGCCAGATTGTTTTAATGCTGGTGTGTTTGTATTGGAACCTTCGATTGATAAATATAATGATCTTTTAAAAATGTTATCAAATTGTGGTAGTTTTGATGGAAGAGAACAAGTAAGTTGATAAGATATATATATATTTCTTATTATTCGATAAAATTTCTGAATATTATGTACGGTCAATGTGATTCAGTGGTGTTCATAAATTGAATCATTTCAAAGTACTACGAAGATATGAAATACTTCGGTTCTGACTATTAGGATTTAAGAAAGTTACAAAATGAAGTTAGTCTTTATAATGATAGTTTGATTCACAACGACATCCACTCTATATAACATAGTTATTGAAGTCTGGTTCACTGTTAGTTAAAGAGCCTTTGTTATTCAATAATGAGTTATAGAGGCATTGGATTACCATTTCGTTTTTAGTATGAGACGACGTTTACACCTAGGACTTGAAACCTGTAGGGTTCGTCACTAGGTACGCTTGAAACTATTAAGAGTTTACCTGGTTGGAAAACGCGAACGAGACAATGAACCAGCGTGCAGATAGGCTACCTTGAATCTCAAGCTGTAAACAGAAGTCTTGGTAAGCGTAGAAAGTATATTCTACAAACACCCAGCAATCACAATACAATCAAGCATACAACTCTCGTTTATTTATACATCATAGAAACGTCCTTGGGACAGCTACGAAAATAGCACACTAAAATACACAGCAGTCAATCACACAGCCATGGATTTTCCTGGTGGGAATTTAAATCTCAAGGTCAACTGATCAGCTCATGCTGGCAAACGTGAAAACCAAAATAAGGCATTTATCAAGCGAGTTTTGGGGATCTAACATCCCCAACAAAACCAGAACCTTCGATCTCGCACACGAACGCCTTACCTCCAGACAACTGGGCTAGCATCCAACAGTGTTATTGTCTAAATTTGATTATTCTTAGGTTTCACGCAACCTCACCCATTGTCTTCGGTAGTTATTGCCTACATCCAACAGAGTTGAACTCCACTGGTCACTACTTCTCACTGGAACACTTAAAATTTTTTCACGAGGCTAGTCACTAGTGAACCATGGATGAGGCTGAGCAAAATCGCTAGATACCGGCTCAGTGGTCAAAAGGTTAGACGTTCGCTCGTGAGACTGAAGGTCGTGGGTTCGATTCCCAAGAGTGATGGTCGTTTATACCCACCGGTGATAAGTCCCATACTAGGATGAAACGGTCATCCAGTTCTTACAGATTTCTATTGGTGGTATAATACTGGTCGATACATAATTTCAACTGATATTTGGGATTTTAAAGAATTATCATATCACCAATTCACCAAATACGTGAGGAAGGAAGTAACTGTATTTTGATATGAAAATCTTTAATTGTTTGAATTATCCGCATAATTTTGATTTGTTCATAAAAAAATTTAAGTAGATATAAATTTTTGCTGAAATAATGTAATAGATAATTGACAAAAAGGAAATGTTCACTTAAAATTGGGAGTCTCATCAGTGATGATGGCCTGGTGACTGAAAAAATTGCAGTATGGATACAGATGGCTTGATTGGTTGTTTCCTCCTTGCGTCACTAATGGCGTCGACGAGATATCCGTTCGGTAACCAAAGGACGAGTGTACTGCGCAGAAGTTCGCTCCGTCCTACTTTATGTTTGTGAAACATAGCCAGTTAGATTAGAGGATATTTGTAGGCTACTAGTATTCGACCATAGGTATGTTGGAAGCAGTGCTCGTGTATCGTGAGACAACCGAGTAAGCAATGTTGTTGTCAAGAAACGAGTACTAGGTAGGGATGGCAAATCAATAGACGAAGTATCACAACTTCACCAGTTGAGTTGGTTAGGACATGTGTTACGACATATGCCTTACCACCGACTGCCTCGACGAGCTATGTTTTGGGGTGCATGAGTAGGTTGAAAGAAAGTTAGGGGCGGCCAAACAAAAACATGACACAAACCCATGAAGTCACTGACAAGTGGACTGAGTCATGTTGGTAGATGTAGACAACCTGGTCGGGTTCCGCGAGATGATAGTAAGCGATGGTTAGAGACCTTGAAAGTCATGGTTGAAAATCGTTTGCAATAGCACAGATGCATCCACTGTTTGTGTTCTTTCAAATCCTAATTTTCTAAATTCCTCACCACCTATATTTTTCTCTTTATAAACTTATTTCACTGAATTATACTTGTTGAATAATATCTTCGAACCCTTATCTTCTCCATTACCGTAAATACGTCTACTGCATTTACCATGAAGGGATTTTAACTAACGATCGCGTCTCTGTGCTAATATGGTATAGCAAGCTTAACTTATGTACGTACGTACATTACAAAGTTCTACATTGTAACAGACGAACTGACCATTTAAAATTAATTATCAAAATAATATTCAGTCATAACATGTCTTTTTATTATTATTATTATTTTTAACAGGGTTTATTGAATCAATATTTTTCCAATTGGTTACATAATAATGATATATCACACCGTCTGTCATATATATACAATTGTATTTGCCGTATATCCAACGATACAAATATTGAATTTTATACAAGTCGATGTGCATGGGTTCATTATGGTCAATCCATTCGAGTGGTACATTTCTCCGGTTCAATTAAACCATGGCATAAAACATCGGCAGCGAAAACTTGTAGTCAAATGTCATTTCGTACATTGTTTTTTAATACCGAACAAGATAGACGTTCAACTGGTCGTGTAGCTAGTATGCTTGCTTATTGGTGGTCATTATTTCTTATACTAGTACGACCACAACTTTCACCGGATATGGTAAGTAGAAGAGAGAGTGAGAGAGAGAGTTAGTTAGTTGTTGATTGCTTCATTTCTTGGAAATAACAGTATTATTTTTTTGGCCTCATACACGTTTATTATTTCAGTCAGTCAGTCATATGCAACGTAGAACTTCGTACGTAAGTACATCAGTTCATGTTGCCATACCACATCAGCACAGAGATGTAACTGTCAATTGAAATCCAATGGAAGAAGAGGTAGTAAAGGTATATTCGAAGTAATCGGAGAGGTTAGGATTAGAAGATATTATTATTCAAGAAGTATGATTCAGTGAGAAAAGTTTTGAAAGTAAAAACTAGAGATGTTGAAGAATCCAGAAGATTAGGATTTAAGAGAGAACACAAAGAATAAATGCACCTGCGCCATTGTGAACGATTTTGAGCCATGTCGTCATTCAAGGTCTCTAACCATCGATTATTATCATCTCGCGGACCCCAACCAGGTGGTAGTCAACAATTACCTACATGGCTAAGTCCACTTGTCAATGACCAGACCGAATTGGTCGAAATCAAATCCTTCCCTACACCCACATTTATTATTTACAGTCACAGAGAAGTAAATTCTTATGAATATTGACAACAATTGAATCATTGTGCTGTTTGTAAAATCGATTGATTATTATTCCTATGATGATTTGAATGGAAGTTGGCATTTGTTTTTAAAAGTGAATATTGAATTTATTTTAATAAATAGATAAATAAATAATTTAAATGACTAGACATAAAGTTGATTGGTTTTATTTTTTTTCAAAATAACAATCCGAGGCCTTTATTATCACAAACTGTGTAAATAAATACAAATGGAATATAGTTTAACTAAGAATGTATGAAAAACAAATTTTTTTTTTCAGAGAAAAATAAATACATTACGGCCATGTGAAGATTGAAACCGCGAATCAATCAATGTTAGACCATCATTTGGAAACTTGGAAGCACTGGACGACGTCCGCGCACAATACTGACAGTCCTTGGGTTCGAATGCTGTCTGGTGCAGGACCTGTGGATGAGCATTGCTCATGAGTCTCATACTAGGACGAAACGGCTGTCCAGTACTTCCAGGTTTCTGTTAATGGTGGTCTAACATTGATCGATGCATGGTTTCAAAAATGTGCAAAAAATAGATAAACAATTGGTCAGTTGAAATAATATGCACACTGCCGCTGATGAGTTGTTCTATCTTGGGGACAAAACGACCATCTTTCAGTGCTCTCAGGCTTCTCTATCGGTGTGGTCTAACAATGATTGATTGATTGACTAACTGATGATTTCAAATGTGTAAAATAAACACACTAACCTCCAAAACTGTAATTGAAAAAAACAAATAGATTGTTTTTGTAATTAACATTCCAGGTCAGTGATATGAAAATAACTATTGAAATGATTGTACTATATTTGTTTATCGTTTTATCAATAGACATTAGCCCTTTAGAGATTTTCAATTGTTATTTTTAGACCTATTTCTTAATTGGGTTATTTGTTAATATAACTAGTACTACTACTCACACTACTACCACTACTACTACTACTACTACTACTACTACTACTACTACTACTACTACTACTACTACTACTATTACTACTACTACTACTACTACTACTGCTGTTACTACTAGCTCTACCACTATGCGGATTTCAACTGATAATTGCATCTCTGTGTGTGTTTGTGTGTGCTAATGTGCTAATGGCAACATGAACTGATGTATGTACGCATGTGGTTCGATGTTGTAATTGACTAAGTGACTTTTATATTTGCATGGTGCATTATAGAATCTGACGATGTTTTGTTATTGTATTATTGAAACAGTTTTGATTAGATAAAACAATTTTGTCATAGAAATGCTTCTAGATGTCATTTTCAGGAGGAGACCTTCTACGAGAAGATTGATTGGTCGACTTAGAATATGCTGATGACATAGTTCTATTCGGTAAAGACGCTGAAAGAATGTACAGTCTTCTGGCCACTCTGAGCAACAATGTAAGCAAGTTCGTGAAGCGGTTTTCCCCATAGAAATTCAAAATGTTGCTTCAAGATTGGGTTGTATTGGCACCTGAACTTGGATAAGGAGTGAAGTAGTTGGGCGTGTTGACCGCTTCATTTATCACGGGAGTTTCATCAGTGCTGATGGCCTGGTGACTGACGAAATCTCAGCACGGATATAGAAAGCTCGATTGGATTTTGACCAACATGAGTCAATTATGCCGTAGGCCGCTTGTTGACTAATGTATGAGTGTATTGCACAATAGTTCGCTCCGTCCTACCTTATGGCTGTGAAATATGGCCATTCAGGATAGAAGATATTCTCCCGTTGCTCGTTTTCGATCATCGGTGTCTCCGAAATATTGCTCGTGTATCATGTATCATCAGATAACCGAATAAGCAACGCTGTTGTTAGGAAACGGGTGCTGGGTGAGAATAGTAGGTCAATTGATGAAGTATTGAAACTTCATCAGTTGAGGCGCTTGAGACATGCGTTGCGTATGTCTCAGCATCGACTGCTTCGACGAGTGATGTTTTGTGGTGTAGGAGTAGGTTGGTAGAAAACTAGGGGCGGCCAAACTCGGTAAAAATCCATCAATTCATTGAGATTGGACTGGGTCATGTCGGTAGGTGTTGACTACCAGGTTGGGGTCCGCGAGATGATAGTAATCAAAGGTTAGAGACCTTGAATGTCACGGCTCAAAACCACTTACAATGGCGCAGGTGCATTCATTCTTTGTGTTATCTCAGACCCTAACCTTCGCAGAACCTCATCACCCATATCTTCTTACTTTTAAGTTTATCTCACTAGATTCTACTTCGTGAATAATATCATCGAACCCTCATCTCTCTGATTACTGCTAACTCTTCTACTACCTCTACCATTATGGGCTTTGGAATTGACAATTGTGTCTCTGTGCTAATTTGGCATGACAGCTTGAACTGATGTACGAAGTTCTATGTTGGTTGATTTATTGATTGATAAGATCAAACAATGTTCGCAGTTTGCCTCATAAAACGTATTGATAAACACATGCAAGAAAAAGTTGGAATCATTAGTATAAACACAAACGCAGATTATTATAAACAATTAAGAACAAATAAGTGAGACGACGAGTTTACTTAATGTTAAAAGTGTTTGCTTAATCAGTCAGCGCTAACCATGATGATGATGATGTCACACCTCAGCCAGTCAATCACTCAGTCAGTCAGTTACAACGTAGAACTTCGTACGTACATACATACGTACATCAGTTCAAGTTACTTACTTACTTACGCCTGTTATCTCGAATGGAGCATAGGCCACCCACCAGTTTTCTCCAACCAACTCTGTCCTGGGCTTCCCTTTCCAGTTCTGTCCTATGTTTGTTCATTCCTCTCATATCTTTCTCTATTTCTCGGGGTAGTATGTTCCTTGGCCTTCCTCTTTTCATTTTTCCTTGAGGGTTCCATGTGAGGGCTTGTCTCGTGACGCAGTTAGGTGCTTTCCGCAATGTGTGTCCTATCCACTTCCACCGCTTTTTCCTGATTTCCTCCTCCACTGGAATCTGGTTTGTTTTCTCCCACAGTACGTTGTTACTGATGGTGTCTGGCCAACGAATACGAAGTATTTTGCGTAGACAACTGTTAATAAACACTTGTATCTTCTGGATGATGGCTTTGGTAGTTCTCCAAGTTTCCGACCAGTTCAAGTTGCCATACCACACATTATCACAGAGAGATGGGATTGTCAATTCAAAGCCCATTATAGTAGATGTAGTAGTAGAGTTAGCAGTAATGGAGAAGATCATGGTCCTTCGCTATTACTGTAACTGAATTTGAACATTTACAATAAAATGGATATTAACAACATTTTTATCGGATTATAAATATTTCGTGCTTTGTATGATAATGCTTCAAATCACTGAACTGGATAACCCATTTCAGTGTACTATGGTCATTGAGTGACAATCTCTTCATATTTTATTATTACAAACTATTCTAATTGAACTGATATAAGTCTATCAAAGATGATTGTGCACGTTTCAAGCAAGGACTAATGCATTCTATCATATTTTGTTTAGTAAAGTTTTTAACGCCAATATATTTTCTTCGCTTTTAAAATTTATTCGACAAAGATTTAAAAAATTTGTTCAATTCGAATTTCGTTTTACTGCATTCATCCGTGACTGACGAAATCTCGGCACGGATAGAGAAGGCTCGATTAGCATTTGCCAACCTTCGTCACTTATGGCGTAGTCGAGATATCTGTTTGTAAACCAAAGGACGAGTGTCCTGCATAGCAGTACGCTATTCAACGATTATATATATATATATATATATATATATATATGGGTTCGAATCCTGTAAGTAGTGAGAGTCGTGGATGAGCACTGCTGATGAGTCCCATACTACGACGAATCAGCCATCCAGTATATATATATATATCTATTTATGTATATATATATATATATATATATATATATATGAAATTGCATTACTCCTGTTATGATAGTTTATGCCAATTTAAAATTGCATTATTTCAAAGGATACTTATCTAATATTCATTACGTTCTGAAATCATGAATCGATCAATTAGAAACCTGAGTGCATTGAACGGCTGTTCCGCTCTGGTATCGGACTCATCAGCAATGCGCATGCACTACTACCGCTACTCACAAAGTTCGAACCAAGGACCTTCGGTCTTGCGCACGAATGCCTAACCTCTGGACCACTGAGCCGATATCTAACGGTGTTATTGTCAATCAATGGTCTTGCGCCACCTCATTCACTGTTTTCGTTGAACACTGGTTCACACTTGTGGATGCACACTGCTGACGACTTCTATATCGCGACGAAACGTCTGTCCAATGCTTTCATGTTTCAAATGATGCACTAACATTGATCGATTGATGATTTCAAAAAGTAACTCAGAAATATTCCATAACCCCATAACATTGATATAGTTTAATTATGTCATAGAATTCAGGATAGATGTAACTGTCGTGTAGTAAGTACATTGCATTACTCCAGGTTCATTATTTAACATAATGGTTAAGAATTATTTTATTTTTCTATTCAATACGCTTCAAAGAAAAATAATTAAATCATTCATTGCACTGATATAATATCATCATAATCTAATTATTATCAGGCATTGTTTATCCAGTGTTTGGTTAAGCTATTTATATATATTCGGGCAGAGATTTTGGAGGTTTGTGTGTTTTTACACATTTGAAATCATCAATCAATCATTGTTAGACCACCATTAGAAACCTGGAAGCACTGAAAGATGGCCGTTTCGTCCTGGTATGGGACGCATCAGCTGTGCGCATCCACGACTCCAGCGCCTCACAGGATTCGAACCAAAGGACCTTCGGTATTGTGCGCGAACGCCTAACCGTCGGACCACTGGGCCGGCATCCAACGGTGTTAATGTCTAACTCTGATTGATCTACGGATCTTTGCGCGACCTCACCCATTTGTCTTTGGTAGTAGTTACTGCCTACACCCGACAGTGTTGAAATCCATCGGTCACATCTTCTCAACTAGAACTCCGGGGATTTCTTCACGAAGCTAGTCACTATTGAGCAGTGTTACAATATTTTCGGGCAGAGTTTTTGGAGATTTGTGCGTTTTTACACATTTGAAATCATCAATCAATAAATAGTATGAATTTCCTAATTCATTCAAGAATTCAAGAATTCATCTCAAAACAGAGTCTGCGTTAATTGTGGAAATTAGGCGGAACTGCTACATGACTGGTCTTAAATGGAAGTTTTTGACGAGTTAGCTTCACGCTTGAAAAGATCTTACTAACGGAGAAGGAAATTCATGGGGTGATGTGAGGTTTGACATTTTTTTACGGTAAACCTTTCTTAAACCTTTTGTTCTGTTATGAGAAGGTAACATAGCGGGGAGATGCTAGTTGTCCGATTGAAACACTTTACTACTGTTACACTCCTCTGTAGTCACTAGTGCGAGTTCGCCTTCAGAACTTAAGTTGCTGCTTTTAATTTTAGCATCACCCAGTCGACTGATATACCATTGTAGGACCTAAAGTAACAGAAGTTGCAAACCCGATCAGCATGTGAAGCTAGCAGCTATCGTCGGGCAACAAGCCTTAACATAATGATCTCCAAAATTTAGAACAAACAAACTCATAAGTAAATCAATGTTTATCTAAATAACTGCATTCAAGATTTCGGTGAAAAATAAAGCAGTTTCATTGAGAATTCATGAATCGATCAATGTTAGACCATTATTAGAAACCTGAAAGCACTAGACGATCATTTGGTCCTGATGTGGGACAGGTCACTGATAGTTCGCCTACGCAACCGTGAAAGCGGTAGTCGAATTCCAAATCTTCGGTCTCAGTCCCGAACTCTTAAGTTCTTGACCACCGAGCAGGCGTCCAACCATAGTATGATCTAACTTGAGTATCCTGTTGTTTCCGGTTCATAACGGCTTCTTATTGAACATAGTTGAATTCCATTGGTCTGAAAGTTAAAAGTTCGTGGGCGAGACTGAAGGTCTTGGGTTCGATTCCTAATTGATTGTTTGCCCTACCAATGATGAGTCTGATTTTAGGACAAGACAGAATTTTAGTACTTTCAGGTTTTAAATGATAGTCGAACACTGATCGATTCATTATTTCAATGAAGCTCAACAATCTCCGCTAACGTACTTACTTACTTACGCCTGTTAACCCCAATTGAGCATAGGCCGCTCACCAGTTTTCTCCAACCAACTCTGTTCTGGGCTTCCTTCTCCAGTTCTATCCAATGTTTGTTCATCACTCTCATATCTTTCTTTGTTTCTCGGAATAATGTGTTCCTTGGTCTTCCTCTTGTCCTTTTGCCTTGAGGGTTCCATGTGAGGGCTTGTCTCGTGACGCAGTTGGGTGCTTTCCGCTTCTTCCTGATTTCTCCATCCACTGAAAGAATCTGGTTTGTTCTCTCCCACAGTACGCTGTTGCTGATCGTGTCTGGCCAACGAATCCGAAGTATTTTACGTAGACAACTGTTCATAAACACTTGTATCCGTAAACGTATAATAATAATAAATACGCTCACTGGTGACCAGCTTCGTAAGAAAATTCGCATAGTTCTAGTGAGAAGACGTGACCAGTGGAATTCAATCATGTCGATTGTAGACAGTAGCTACTAAAGACAAATGGGTTAGGTGGCACAGAATCTATAGATTAATCAGAGTTAGATATGAACATCGTTGGATGCCAGCTAGTCGGTCCAGTGATTAGGCGTTGGAATCCTGTGAGGTTCAAGAGTCTTGGATGTGCATTGTTTATGAGATCAGACGAAACGGCCGTATCCAGTGCTTCTAGGTTTCTAATGGTGGTTTAACAATAACTGATTGATGATTTCAACGTGTAAAATACACTAACTTTCATAAATCTAATCTAAAAAAGGAATCAGTACTTTGTCTTTTCTTTTGTGTTGTAATTTCTTATTTCTCTAACATTCACTTTCGTCGATGATAAAAATTCCTTCCTACGCTTTATTTAACCTATTTAAAATGTATTCACAAAATATAGTTTGAGAAAAACAATCAAGTAATTTATCTTGATCATCATATCTAAGGTTATGATGTATGATCGAGAAAGCTATGTCCAAAAATGACTATCGACATAGAGTATTCCATCTTTTTCGCCATCAATAAACAAGTCAAATGGCAGAAATCCATGAAATCATTGACGAGTGGACTTAGCCATGTCGGTAATTGTCGACTACCACCTGGTTGGGGTCCGCGAGATGATAATAATCGATGGTTAAGAGACCTTGAATGACGACATGGCTCAAAACTGTTTGCAATGGCTCCGGTGCATTTATTCTTTGTGTTCTCTCAAATCCTAATCTTCTGGATTCTTCAACCCCTCTACTTTTGACTATCTAAACTTATCTCATTGAATCATACTTCTTGAATAATATCTTCTAATCCTAACCTCTCCGATTACTTCGAATATACCTTTACTACCTCTTCTACTATTGGATTTGAATTGACAATTACATCTCTGTGTGTGCTGATGTGGTATAGCGACATGAACTGATGTACCTACGTACATACGAAGTTCTACGTTGCAACTGACTGACTAACTGACACCTATGAGTGGGCATTCAGTAAGTTGTGGGGAAAGAATACCCAATCGAGATGTACTGTGTGTGTGTGTGTATGTTCAATTCATAAGTGATCAACCCATCGTGTTCACTGTTCAGTGTCCAATGTCCAATTTGATCATTGAATCACATATGGATATTTATACATAGAAATATCTTAATTTGTTTTTCTTGAACGAAAAAAAAAACAATTTTATGCTAACTATAGTTTTATAATTCTCCTTTTTTTCTTTTTCGTCCTCATAAAATTTTACTTGATTACAAAAATTAACTAACTAAATAACTGTATGTTGGCAATAATATTGTTCCATGTATGTGTTTGGGTGATTTTTGATTGTTGTCGGTGTTTTATTCATGTTATTTTTTTTTATCATTATTACCAATCATGGCTATTGTTATTGCTTGCTTGATTCAATTGATCAATTGTTGTTTGTGTTGCTTGTGATTCGCACAATATATTTTTGTATTCTATCTGTGTGTGTTGTTGTCATCAATCAATCAATCAATCATGCTTAGTATTTAAGTCATATTTCATTAGATAAATTAAGAAAATATGATTGGTCAGATGATAATCATGATCAATTAAATGTCATGAAAAAAGCTGAAAATTCTAGTCATTTATTTGTTCAATTATATCCTTCAGCGCATGAAGAATATTTAGATAGTAGAGTCAATAGTCGACAGTGTAATTTATTAACTCCAGTAGATCATTTACAATCGCAATTACCTTATCATCCAGAATTTCATGATACAAATTGGGATTATTTACATAGAGGGCAACGAATTGATGAAGGTAATCGATTGGTGGAACATCATCAAATTAATGTTGAGCCGTCTGCACAGCTTCCATCACAATTTAATCTTTCCTTGTCTGGTATAACATATCATCATGAAGTGAATACTAGGAAAAATGTATCATCCTGTGAAAAACAGAGCCATCAGAACAATCATGAATGTAAACAGCATGAAATAGCTCAAAATTTCAGTGAGAAACATCTAAGTAACGATAAGACTCATCAATCTGATCATCAGACTCATCAAGAAAAATTTGTTGACCATCAACAAATTCAAGAAAAATCAGATGATAGTGAAATTCATCATAGCGCACCACCAACAACAATCCAAGATGACTGTGATATAACTGAAAACACTTCTCAGTATAAGGAAGGACCTGCGGTGAGTAAATCAAAATCAGATGAGACTGTGATGAAGATACCAGAAAATGTATCATCTTCTTTCCTAAATCCTGTCCCATTGGAATCAACAATAGAGTCAACATCACAATCACCATACTCTTTAAATTGTCATAAATGCTGCGAAAAACTAGTAAGGGAACAACAACGATTAATCTGTCCAGTAAAAATGAGAAAATTATCAACTGATCACAATACAGACAAACGACAAACACTTAGAAAACACCAACGTTACAGTCTAGGGGCTTCATTCAAACCAACCGCCAAAATTCTTCATCCTATACAAAATAATAATCATAATCGTGTAAAACAAACTAGAAATTCAATGTTCAATGATGGATTGAAACAGGCGAAGCTAGTAAAAAATCATTCTTCAACACTTCCTTTAAATTGTAATCTTACTTCAAACTATCATCATCATCAACAAGTTGATAAGAGCGATTCAAATTACCCGCAAAATCAATTGTTTGAATTGAATAGAAAATTAAGTAATCAATATCGTGGTTTAGATATTGCTTATTCGATTAGTAAACAATGCAATCGAATTACAACCATTCCTAAGGCTACTACTACTACTACTCCAACTACCACTACTACTACTACTACTGTTAGCCAAAAGAAATCTCATCAGATAACCGATAAATCCTACTTCTGTCATAAAGATTTAAAAAGACAACGGATTCATCACGGTGAGATTTCTTCCCTTTATAAACATAGTCATAGTGATGATGAAAATAGCAGCAGACATTTTGATCATTTGCATAATAAAATCCTGAAAAATTCATATTCACTGAATTGTTTAAATCAACTGAAATCAACCAGATTATCGCCAGTTGATAACAACAGTGTGTTAGTCCATAATAAAGTCACATTAAATCCACAAGAATTCCATCAAACAACATTAAGTCAATTAAAAAAAATCAAATCGAACAAGTTGAAGAAACAAAGAAAACCATTGATACAGTCAAATAAACAACTGTTCAATAGTCAATTACTACAGATTGATTGTGTCAGCAATAATGTTCATCATCCGAGTAAATCATTCACTTCAATGAATTCATTGATGATTTCGGTAAATCATTTTTCACATTGTACACATTGAATGTGTTGTTTTACTGTTTTTTTGTGCGGTTTTTAAAAAATAGTATTGCATGATTATTATAACACATGCATGATAAATGTAGAGGAGATTAGTGTTTTTTTAAGGGTGTGTGTACAAATGAATAACTCTGGCAATAATTATGATAATTAATGAGTAGTGGTTTTAAATTTTTCAAAAAAAAATTAAAAAGCTATTTCTTCATTAAATTGATATTGCTTTTATTGTGTAGTGGTGATTCATGTCATTAATTGTTCATCAAATGTTGAAGTGTTTTTTTGTGATCAATGATTGGTTCTTCGTTTACTGATCATTGAAAATGATACACAAGAGTTGGTTTATCATTGTTTTGCATTACGGGGTTGTGAAGATTGTTAAGTTACACATTTTTTTTTGGAAACCATGAATCGATCAATGTTAGACTATCACCATTTGAAGAAACCTGGAAGAAGCACTGGACGATGGCTGTTTCGTGGTCCTGGTATGGGACTCCTCAGTGCAGTACGCTTAGAAGTGCGCTCAGTAGTGTGATTAGAATGAAAGATTAAGATTGAAAAGAATTAGTCGTTTTTTGTTTGTTTTTTCGGAAATTTTGATTGAACCATGTGAAGAAGATGTAGTTGATCTAGAAAAACTGTTGTGATGTATTGGTGTGATACATTTCTTTTTCGATTAGAGTTATGGAGATTAGTGTTTTTTCATTTGTAAATTGAAATCATTAATGAATCGATCATTGTTAGAGCACCATTAGAAACCTGGAAACAGAAGTTCGCTCCGTTCTCCTATATGGCTGTGAAACATGGCCAGTGAGAGTAGAAGATATTCGTAGGTTACTAGTATTCGATCATAGATGTTTAAGAAGCATTGCTCGTATACCGTGGGACAACCGACTAAGCAATGCTGTCGTTAGGAAACGGGTGCTATGTAAGAATGGCAGATCAATAGATGAAGTGGTGAAACTTCATCAGTTGAGGTGGTTGGGACATGTGTTACATATTGCTGCCGAAGCGAGCTATGTCTTGTGGTGTAGGAGTAGGTTGGAAGAAAGTTAGGGGCGGCCAGACCAAAACATGGCAGAAATCCATGAAGTCACTGACAAGTGGACTGAGTCATGTTGGTAGATGTAGACTGCCTGGTTGGAGTCCGCGAGACGAAAGTCACCAATGGTTAGAGACCTTGAACGACATGGCTCAAAATCGTTTGCAATGGCTCAGGTGCATCCACTCTTTCTGTTCTATCAAATCTTAATCTTCTGGAATCGTCAGCACCTCTACCTTTGTCTTTCTAACCTTATCTCATTGAATTATACTTCTTGAATAATATCTTCGAACCCTAGTCTTCTTCATTACCATTAATACCTTTACTATCTTTATCACTATGGGATTAGATTTGACATTTGCGTCTCTGTGTTAATAATGTGGTATGGCAACATGAACTTATGTACGTACGTGTGAAGTTCTACGTTGCAACTGACTAACTAACTGGAAGCACTGGAACATGGCTGTTTCGTCCTGGTACGGGATGGATCAGCAGTGCGTATCCATGACTCCTGCTCCTCGAAAGATTCGAACCCTCGACCTTCGGTCTTGAGCGCGAACGATTGACCTCTAACAATCTGGTTAAACATGTACTTTTCAAGATATTTTAATAACAACACAAATGGAAACGAATAATATTGTTGTCTTTAATTGGATCGTTATCATCAAGCTTTATACTCTTTAATAGACATGAAAATTTGATATGAAAAATGGTAGATCAATCAAGACAATTTGAATTAATGATCACAATGAAATAGAGATTTTTACACGGTTGAAATCATCAATCAATTATTGTTAGACCACCATTAGAAACCTGGAATCACTGGACGATGGACGCTTCGTTCTGTTATGGGACTCATCAATAGTGCTCATCCATGACTCCTGCACCTCGTAGGATTCGAACCCGTGACCTTCGGTCTTGCGCGCGAACGCCCAACCTTTATACCACTGGGCTGAAATCCAACGGTGTTAATGTCTAATTCTGACTGATCAACGGATTTTGCGCGACCTCACGCATTTGTCTTTGGTAGTTACTGCCTACACTCGACAGGGTTGAACTCCACTAGTTCCGTCTTCTCACTAGAACTCCGAGAATTTCCTCACGATGCTAGTCACTAGAGATTGCGTCACTACATCTCTAATGAGTAATAGTATAAGTCGACGATAGTAGGAAGACAAGTGTATTGATAGTAGTTGTTAAGACTAATAAAATACGATAACAGAAGTTTTTGTCAACAAGGTGATCATTGTAACTGAAACAGAGAGAGAAAATGAGCGTATTATATATACAAAAGAATAAGGAAACGATAGGAAATTTTCACATTACCCTTAGGCTATAAAATGGCTTATAGATTACCAAGGTATTTGTTATAACATTAAATCTACTCAGGTAATCTTCAGGACATTTTATGTGACCATTTTCCTACCCTTTCTTATTCTTTCTCTCTGTTTTGCCTTCGCTTACAATTGTCATCCGATGTCTACTTGACTTTTTATTAATTTTCATATGAAAATGCCTTGACAAGTGTTTAACATGTGTTGTGACCAGACTGTTCGAAATGTGTGTAGCGCAAATACATCACAACATTTTTCTGATCAATTACGTCGTCTCATTTATTCTGTTAAACAATAGGTGTCTAATAACTACCGGTGATTGTCAAATTAAATAAAACTTATTATAAAGTTTTGAAATGAGGTATATTTTTAAAAAAATATTTGATTCTCAAGTGAAAGAAATGATCACTTTTTCGATAATTACAATATTCATTAGTTATGTTACATGTAAAATTTATGTTCATGTAACATTTTCCCGACATAATGATAAGTTACACATTTTTGAAACCATGAATCGATCAATGTTAGACCACCATTAGAAACCTGGAAGCACTGGACGGCCGTTTCGTCCTGGTATGGGACTCCTCAGCAGTGCGCATCCACGACTCCTGCACCCCCGCAGGATTCGAACCCAATGATAAGTGTTAGAGTTTTTATAGCTATTACACCTTAAAAGCTATGTCATTCTTTCATGTATGACTTTTCTCCAAAAAGTTCTATCGACTTCTTCAAATAAGTTTACTTGAAAAGGGCACAGTAGAGTTATGACAACACCAAGATTGATCGATTCATGGCTTCAAAAATGTGTAATTTAACAATCTTGACTACCCCATCATGCAAATTACCTGTGCTTACTGGTAACTAGCTTCGTGAGGAATCTTCTCCGACTTCTAGTGGGAAGACGTGACCAGTGAAGTTCAACATATTCAGGTGTAGACAGTAACTATAGAAGACTGTGTATGAGGTTGCACAACTCCGTGAATTGATCAAGTTAGACAATAACACCGTTAGACACCGGCTCATTGGGCTGTTGGTTAGGCGTTTGCGCACAATAATGAAGGTCCTGGGTTCGAATGCTGCGGAGTGCAGGAGTCGTGGATACGCAGTGCTGAGGAGTCCCATACCAGGACGAAACGGCAGTCCAGTGCCTCCAGGTTTCCAATGGTGGTCTAACACTGATCTCGATTCATGGTTTCAAAAATGTGTAACACGTTAGGTGTTTGATGAGAAAGCTACCAGATGCAAATTTTGGCGTAGATAATTAACCGTACGAAACTCGTACATGCAGCTAACGAATCCGAAGTAAGATGAAATGTTCATCTTGAATTCCACTGATAACCAATCACCAAAGAAATCGCTTATAAATAAATACATTTGACAAAAAATCTCTTACTATATTTCATGGGGTCGGTTATATTCTACACTTCTATGGTCAAACTAATAACTGAAAGTTTTAACTCAAAATGCATACAACCCATTTTTAAGATAAATTTTTTCAGTGTATAATCATTATTCAGCCAATCAGTCAGTCAGTCAGTCAACGTAGAACTTTAGTACGTGCGTACATCAGTTCAAGTTGCCATATCACATTATTTAAGAGATGCTATTTTCGATTCGAATCCCATAGTAATAGATGTAGTAGAAGTATGAGCAGTAATCGGAAAGATTAGGGTTAGAAGATATTATTCAAGTAGTATAATCCAGTGCAGTAAATTTAACAACGAGAAAGATAAACATGATGAGTAATTTAGAAGGTTAGGATTTGAGAGAATACGAAGAATGGATGCATCTGCGTCATTTCAAACGATATTAGGCGATCTGATTGAAAGTCTTTAACCATCAGTTACTATAGTCTCGCGGATCCAAACCAGATAGTCTACACATACTAACATGGCTCATTTCAGTTGTCAATGACTTCATGGAGGCTATGAATTCCACATGGTTGTTTGACATTGTACAAATGCATCTATTCAACATTGTCTTCTGTTTCAAATTCTAGTCTTCTAAATTCCTCATAACCGCCATTCTTCTCCTGTTAAGCTTATTTCACTGAATTATACTTTTTTGGATGATATCTTCGACCACTAATCTTCTCTCCAAGCGCTACTACTGCTACAACCTCTACTATGCTGGCATTTGATCTGACAACTCCATCTATTTGTGTGCTAATGTGGTATGACAACTTGAACTGGTGCACATACTCATCAAATTCTACATTGTTACTGATTGACTGACTAACTAACTAACTTTATATTACTGCTATGATTATTCGGAATAATTTGACTACTTCTGTAGCTGTTTTCATAAATTTCTCAATGATCTGTTCATATTAACCGGAGAACAGTCACCTGATAATAATTACTTCTTTTTAATAGTAAATCTGGTGTTCTAGTGTTCATCACTAATTTATACTTAAAAACATAAAGTATGAGAGAATAGAACCATCATACCACTGTTCAGCTATTCTGTTTCCCACTTGCTTGTTTCTTTGTTTGCTTGTTATCACCAATTAAACTCAGATGATAAAATGATTTTAGTCATTAAATCCAACTATGTTTTGAGTAATCCTATCATTGGTACCCTGTTGAAACGTCTCATCCACACACACACATACACGCTTGCACAAATTCACCAACTTGAAACAGCTCCCCAGTTTATCTAAAAAACTCATCTTTTTAAATTAAGTAAAAATTTTATTGTTTGTTAGTTTTTCATAGTAAGCGACATTTCTGTTTTTCATTTTTTCTGACCATCTCATTGCTATGTCGTGACTTCACTATACACATCAGTGTATATATATACATGTGTATTTATATATATATGTGTGAGTGTAAGTGTGAGTGTGAGTGTTTCTAGTGGTAGCTAGTAGCTAGTTCATTATTCCTTGCATATTTTTCACTCGTTTGCTTTCAACATTTATCCAAAAAAATTACCTGTCCTTATTTATTTCTATACTGTACTGTACTGTACTGTTTTTTTCTCTCCACTGTTCCTTTGTATCGTTGGGGCATCAAATCAAAAGACTGGATTAGTTGGTGATTTAGCCAATATGAATAATTATGCTGACAAGGCGGTATTATGTCAACATCATGCTGAATTAGAAGCTGCCAGTAATGAACGTATGTATGCATGGGAACGTGGTGAAATCGATTATACCGGGGCTGATCGTTTTATGAATATCTTAAATAAATTATGCAATACATTACGTGATGTTGGCGGTGAAATGAATCTTCCAATAGGTACAGATATTATGCAATAGATGAATGAATCGTTGAACAATGAAAAAATCTTTTCTATTTTAAATGTACATATGATGAATTATTGCCAATTACTGACAATTTCTTTCACACTCTCTTAAACCGAATATGATCAAGCTAATCTATAGATTCTGGTTGACGGGATGGGCTCGCCAACACTCCTCCATTTTTTTATCGGGCTTAGGACTGGCAGTAGCTGTGAAGGTTCTACTTACTGTTGGAGTTCATGAAATTCATTATCATCATGTAGTTAGTTCATTTGCTCTCTCTTTATGATCTTTTTTCTCTACAAATTAGGAATCAGTAGTTAATATATATTGACATTAACTTACTTATTGGAAAGCAAAAAAAATAGATACATGTTAGTACTACTAGTCGGTATGTTGATTTCTTGTTATTTTTTCGCCTTTTTTTTATACAAACTACTTTTGATGCTTAAATGTTTTTAGAATTTAATGAAATTATAAATCACCCTTAAAAAAAACTTATTTTTGCAATCATGTTCCTCCTTGTCATTGACATCAAAATTTTACCATGAATCTGGGTTAACAGTGAGTGATACATGTGCACACTTGCACGCACACACATACAGACAGTCATATCATCCCAGCTACAACTACTTCTTTGAATTTACATGAAGAAGTATGTTGTGTAACACGACCTACCCCTTCTTCCATGCTCTTCTACTTCTTATCTTTTAGCCAGATATTTCATTTTGTTACCTTTTTGCCCCATAAGTCATCACCGCCCATTTAGGATATGTATGATAATTCATGTTTCGTGATTTGTAAATTATCTCCTCTTTCTCTTTTTATTTTATTGTGAAAAATGTTAATTTTTTCTCCTTTTTTTGGGGGGCTTCAATGACAAAACTTTTCTATTTGACAATCAATCCAATGATGATTGGTTTATTTTGATCCATTTATTTCCTTGATAATTTAAAATAAATAAATCAGTTAAAAATATTATTATTATTTTTTAATGATGAACATTTCCAGCAAGTTGATGGCGTTGCGCTATGGGTAGTCCTTTGGGACCTCTTTTAGTGGAATGAGCACATTAATAAGCTTACTCTCTATAGGAGGTATATGAACGATATTTTAATTATATGTAATAAAAAAAGTCAACGTCGTCTTTCAGTTACTGGACAAATTTAATAGCCTTCAGAATGACATTGTACTAACCCACGAAACAGAAAGTAATAACCAATTGCCTTTTTTAGACATACTGTTGAGTCGAGGAGGAGAATGGAACTAACTATAAAGCGTTCTGTTTATAGGAAGCCAACATGGACTGGATAGTATCTGAATTTTAGCAGAATTTGTCCACTGCAATATAAACGAGATTTCGGTAAAATGCCTCTTCAATAAGGCTCAAAGGATTTACGCGCACGGATATACATTTGATGACGATGCAAAATTCTTAACTGAAGCATTGATTTCAAATGGCTATCCGCTAAAGTTCATCAATAGGTGTAGAGATCAGTTTTTGATTTTGCTGAGAAGAAAAAGGTTTATATCACTTTATATCATTTACAGGTGAAGCAAATGGTCTAATCTTAAGACAGAAACTAAAAGAAGCCATAGAGAAAACATACAACGCTGCTAAACTGATTATCATTGAAAAGACTAAGCCCATGATTTCACATAGAACTAAACGTTGCTCGAATGATGAATACATCACATCCCATTGTATTTATCAATTTACATGTTTGTATGGGCATACATACACATAGGGAGGAGTAATTGGATTTTGCAATCAAGGCTTATGGAACATGTACCTAAGTGGCTTCAGAATTTCAGTTCACGTCAGATGAGCCGATTGGTGTTGGAAATAGAAAACCATGTTTATCGATCGTAAAACACATAATTGAGACAGGGCGCATAAGATTGACATCAAGACAGCCTTCAAAACATTGTTTAGAAATGTTGAAGGACCAATTTTGAGGTTTATGGAGGCCTTGGCTATTAGAAAATTAAAACCACCGCCCTTATGTGTGCAGAAACAATTTGTCATAACCTTGAATTTACCTTGGTAATCTTTAAGCATAGGGTGTAAATGTGACAATTTTCCTACCCCTTCTTATTCTTTTCATATTACGTTAATTTTCTCTCTCTCCTTCATTTACAATTATCACCTTATGTCTCTATTTGAACTTTTATTTAATTGGCCTTTTATTCATCTTCATATCAAAATGCCTTGACAAGTGTCTGCATGTGTGTGACCAGATTGTTCGAAATGTATGAGGCGCAAATACATCACAAGATTTTTCAGATCAATTACGTCTTTTCACTGTTCTATCAAAATTTTTTTTTAGTTGAACTTTTTATTGAAAAAACAGAACAAAAATTAGAATATTACAATGTTTCATTTAACCAGTGTGATGTAACGCTTGCTTAAAATAATTAATTCCCAGCTAATTCCTATTGCTTAGTATTTATTCTCTGTGACCACACAATGCCACTGGACAAGTTCCAAAAGAATCAAAAAAACACGGTTGAACAGGAAATAAGTAGATTCCAAATAGCAAGGTTAAATGGAAGCAAGAAGCCGAAGGCGAGGAAGGCCGAAAATAGATACAACATAAGTTTCTTTATAGCATTTACATGAGAAGCTTCTGGATAGTAGTAATTCACGTGATCGACTGGATTAGATTTAGCCAATCAGCGTGCAGCTAACAACAACACGAGAATTTTCTACCTTGTTCTCCAAGACTAGATCAGGCGCTGATTGGATTAGGAAATTAGCCAATCAGCGCGCAGCTGACGTAGTCATGATTTTATTCCATCTATTTCCCACTAACACAGCGTTGCTCCTCTTTGTTCAGGTGTGAAACAGTACTCACCGAGGAGAGTGAATGAGGTTACGCAACACTATGGATTGATCGAAGTGTTAGACATTAACACCGTTAGATACCGACTCTTTGTTCTACAGGTTAGACGTTCGCACGTAAGACGTGACGCCTTGGGTTCGAATTCTATGAGTAGCAGGAGCCTTGGATGCGCACTACAACTGATGTGTCCCACAGTAGGATGAAATGGCAGTCAAGTGCATTTATATTTCTAATGATGGTCTAATGTAGTGAAGGAGAACACAGGTGAGGGCAATCGAATTGTATTTATCTCAAATTACAGAGTTAATTGGTAAAATAGGAAAACCATATCGTAAATCGTTCATTTGCAAAATATCAGTTCATCATATCGAACTGGACTGTTCCTGTTGCAAAACATCATTCCATTGTCACTATTCATGCGTTTCATACAAATTCCATTGTGTTCCGAACTCTTCCTTTCTTGATCTTCCCCCATCTTCTGCTGCCAGACATTACGTTTTTACTCGCTTCATATACTACTTATAAGTAGCGCGCACCACACTGAACGATTCATGATTTCAGCAAAACGTCTTATTTGTTAATTTTTATGCTTGTTTGTTAGAAAAAATTGTTCATCTTCACAAAAAAATATTAAACATGATTGTTTGATTAGGTTTATGTAATGCACTTTCCAAAAAAATCGATAATATACTTCAAATAGTTCAAATGGTTCGATTTTTAAATGTGGACAATAATGATTGATCATTGTCAGTAATTATGAGATTAGCTATTCGTAAGTGAGATGGAAGGTCGTGAGTTCAGTTCACACATGTGTGTGGTCGTAGATGTGCACTAACACTGATGAGTTTCATATGAGGTTAAAATGACAGTTCAATGCTTTTAGGATTCCATGAGTGATGTGTCTTTGATTAATTCATGATTTTTGATAAAATGATTAGTCATTAATATTATCACTGTTACTTTAATAATGAAACTTCAGTAATTTTAGCTACACGAAACCCTTTTATTGTAATTAATGTTACTCACTATTCTTTCTAAACTATACAGTTATATTTGAATAAACGTACATTGTACGAGAAACCAAAGGATGAATCTACAGTACAGAGTTTTGCTCCGTTCTACTTTATGGGTATAAAACATAGTCCGTAAGTGTAGAGGATATTAGTAGGTTACGAGTATTCGATCATAGGTATCTTTGAAACATTTCTCGTATATCCTGGAACAACTGAGTAAGGAATGCTGTCATTAGCGGTCAGGTACTAGGTAAGGATGGTATATCAATAGATAAAGTATTGAAACTTCATCAGTTGAGGTGGTTAGGACATGTTTTCCGAATGTACAACCACCAACTGCCTCGACGAGAGATGTTTTGTGGTGTGGGAGTAGGTTGGAAGAAAGCTAAGGGCGGCCAAATCAAATAATGACAGAAATCCATGAAGTCACTGACAAGTGGACTGAGTTATGTTGGCAAGTTTAAACTGACTGGTTGAGGTCTGCGACATGATAGTAACCGATAGTAAGAGACCTTGTATGTTATAGTAAATTGAACTGATGTACGTATGTACGAAGTACTACGTTATAACTGATTAACTGACTATACATGAAGCTTCAAAACTATTTACGTCATTTTAATTACAAGAAATCATTTCCGTACATTTAATTAGTTGGAAATGGGATCCAGGTTTTTTCATTTCAAGACTCGTTACGTGGATGTATCAGTATATTAGATTTGATTTTGACAACAAGACTCATACGTCGTACATCCATCTATGTAATCCTACTGTGTTATCTAAGCACGACCTATGGCATTCTGGTGTTCCATTTGGTCCATAAAACTTGTACTTCATTATATACTTAGCTAAATTCAATGACTATTAAACATTCCTTTTAATAACTGAGGAAAAGTGTTGTGTTATTAATTGTCGCCTATTGAGTTGAATGCTGATAATCTAAGATCCGTTTGCTAAGAAAACTTTATATTGTGAAGTTGGGTAACTAGCTCCTAGTTTATACAGGCTTCGAACTGGCAATAAATAAAGGAGGACTCCAGGAGGGGTAGACATTTAGCGAAAAGTTGAATGATCTGTACTTTGCAGATGATCTAGCTCTTCTATCCCACACGCAACAACAAAGACAGGAGGAGAGAGACAGCCAGTGCAGTAGCATCCT